AGGCAATAAAAATAAAACATACTTCAACATTAACAAACCAAACCTGAACAGGACTTTAACAAGAACAACCATTTCCACACAGAAACATCATAAACAGTCAGCAGCATCAAGGCTACCCAGCATGCTTTGCAGCTCATACAGTCTCTCTGGGTCTCTCTCACAGAGAACTTTGTGAGTTTTGGGGAAAATAAAATAAAGTTAAGCAGAGACACACATCTTTGCTTTTATCTGGGACCTACAAGTATCCCTGTTTTGGTGTTAATAAAGTGTAATTATAAGAATAAAATTAGCAAAGACACGAGTTAAAAGACTGAGCGCTCTCGCAGGGGTGTGCTGTTGTGTGGGGAGTTCTGATAAACTGATCGTATCTGTGTGATCGCCCTCGAACCGGATTAAACAACAACAAACAGACTGATTCCTGGGGGGACACTGATGATGATGCTCAGCAGCTTTGTAGTTAGTTTAAAAATAGTTCACCACAAATAGGATCGATTATGTGATTCATCAATGACACGAAGGAAACGTTCGACACGCACACATCTCGCTCGCTTTCAGCCCAGCTGAGTTCTGCTCCGCCTCTTTTGGGTCCTGTAGGATTCCAGCTCTTTCCACAGGTTCCTGGTTCTTGGACGGCGCCAATGAGCAGCAGCTGAAGGCCATCTCCTTAATGAGCTCCAGGAGAATTAAAAACTGCAAAAGTGTTGATTTCCCTGCTGGATCATTAGATAACAACTGGTATTTGCTATCATCCTCCTTGTGACTCTTGAACCTAGAATAATAAACTTACCTTGTTTTCTCCTCATGCTTTCTAGTGCCCATCTCCTGAATATCCAGTCCTGGATTCCTCATCTCCTTCCTCATGCCTGCAAAACATCAGCACTTACCTTCAGCTGCTCCTCCGCCGTTCTACCACCACCTAACTACTAACCACCTGCTTCTCTTGACTTTGACCACCTAGAATCCTCTGCCCTCCTCTCAACACTACAAGACCACTACCTTCCAGTAAGAGATAAACAACCTGTGCTTATCAATCCATCCTGATACCCAGACTCACCCTCTTTCTCCTGCCTCAGGTGAATCACTGTAAATAAATTACTTTATTATATCAAGAGCATCAGTCTGTTTCCCTCAGTCTGGTCTCTCTGGATTTTACCTCGAATTGTACTAGTTCTGCTCAAAGCTCACACCTGAGCAGCATGTGACGCTTCACCTGGAACTGGTCTGTACAGCCATTTCATTGTAAATGAGAACTGGTTCTTAATGGACCTACCAGGAACAGCAACATTCAGGGAACATCAAAAACAGTCAACATTTTTCTTTTTTGAAAAGCATAAAGATTTGTCAAGTCAGAGATGACAGAACAATGTTTCTGTTAAATAGGAGGCATAGTGTCATTTTAGTTTTTACCATTGGTTCACATTAGAGGATCACTACTTTTATTACAAGGAAATACACCTTAAAATGTAATGTATTTGAAAAACACATTTGGGTTCTGTTTATTGCATTTATTATTCAGTGCAGCAAAATGAACACATTTAAAAGGTAACAGATCATTGTAATACTTGCTTTATTTAAAGAATGACTTTAATAGCTGGATGTCCGGCACCTGAGCTGTTGGCTTTCAGTAACTGTGGCCCCCTGGGCAATTTAGTTGAATAGTCCTGGCATAGAGGATCAACCAGTTTGCTGGTGTCAGCCAAAACTAGTTGTTCACATGCAACATGATGTGTACTGCAAACCCACCCACACAGAACTTGCAGTTTGACTCGCATCACCCGCTGGAGCACGTTAGGAGTCACCTGGACTCAGAGTGGACAGCGTCTCAGGAGCCAGACAGAAGAAGAAATCCCACACAAGACAGGTCCAGGAGCAATGTGGATACTGTGCATTCCTGAAAGCAGAGAAGAAACCTAAACAGGATTCCAGCCAGCCATCCCATAAATACGACCTGAGTCAACCTTGTTAGACAAAAGAGAAGAATTTCACTCATTCAGGAACAGAAATCACATATTGTAAAATAGGTTTAAACCTGTTTGACAGGTTTCTTAGAAACTTCTAAGAACGTTCAAGAAATCTCATCATGAAACTAAATCGTAAAACTACTCATTATAAGAACAATAACAACTATAGTTCTTTTCTTTTCAGCGCTGTGTGCCAAGCTGAAAAAGAGTCGCAGCTGTGTTCAACCATTTAATTTGAAACGCTCAGCTAAAACGAGTCTATTGTTTTCTTTATATAAAAAAGTATTAAAAAAAAACAAACTCTGTAGCAGTTAGGTATATTCCTGATAATACAGCAAAAAAATGTGCTAATTCAAACCAGAAAATGGACGCTTTCACAAGACAAAATCCATCCATCCATCCATCCATCCATCCATCCATCCATCCATCCATCCATCCATCCATCCATCCATCCACTCTTTACCCATTTCTTCCTTTTTGGATTGTGGGGGTCACTGGTTCCCATATCCAGCCATCACTGTGTGAGAGGCGGGGTACACCCTGGACAGGTCTCCAGTCCATCACAGGGACATGTAGAGACAAACGAGACAAACAACCATTCACTCTCTCACTCACACCTAGGGGCAATTTAGAGTTACCAATCTAACATGCATGTTTTTGATCTGTGGGAGGAAACCAGAGTACCTGAAGAAAACCCACACATGCACAGAGAGAACCTGCAAACTCCACCCAGAGAAGCCATCGACCAGAAGTCGATCCGACAGCCTTCTCGCTGAAAGGTAACAGCTCTACCAACTGAGCTACAAAATCCACTTGAAGAATATTTGAAAACTGCTCCTATGAATAGCTGTTCTGGTACTGACCCAGCCCAACCCTCCTGTCTTTACTCTCTCTACTCTTCATAAGTGGTCATTAACTTTTTGTGTCATTAACTTTGTTAACCATTTTAGATATCCATTGCCAGGTAGTTTGGTGTTTGTTCTTTTCTTTCTTCTGATCCCTGAGTGAGGACAGGTGACCATCCTTCAGAGTCAGGTTCTGACACCCAGCCTGTCACAGTGCATGGTTATTTTAAGCTGCTTTTAGAAATGTGGCATTACACCTTTACTGTCTAACAAAGTTGGTCAACTAAATAACTAAGACGATAAGAGGTTGTCGATTTCCTGACGAAGTGTATCCCAGTCAGATACTGAACTGGTTTCTGTTTTATGTTGTTTATGTGGGTGCTTCATGACATAAAACACATACAGAGTTGAAGACAATGCCTTCTAAAATAGTGTATAAAAAAATACATTTTAAAATAAATTAAATTTGAATATGTTGAAACACATTTAAATACATTTCACTTTATATCAAAACTGGAATACTCGGACACCCTCTAATGTTAAACCCATTAATAAACAACCGTATCAAAAAGTGTCTCAGTAAAAACAACAAACTTTTTTATAAACATTCATTTGATCTTTCATAAGAATCATTTCTAAAATGCTAAAACATTAAATAGATTTAATGAAGGAGAAAAATAATAAAAATGCATTGCTTGTAAGAAACAATATACGTAGAAATATCTTTATAAATAAATGTAAAACGATGATGAATGTAAAATGTTTTCAAAATGAGTTGTGAACAACTGATTGTTTCTGTTACTCTTCTGCAACAATTTTTTTTCCTCCACTGAGTTCAGCAGTCTTCGAAGGCTTTCATTGTGATTTAGGTCACACTGTTCTGTGGTCAGTTTAAAATAAGCAGATTTTCTTTCTTAGACATAATATTTTGATGCTGATTGTGCTTCAGGTTGTTGTTCAGCTGATTTTAGCCTCAAACCCAGTTTTCTGACTTTAGATAATAGTTTCCTCTGACAAACACATGATTGTGTTTCTCCTTTCATACCATCAAAATCTTCTCTTTTTGCATTATTTCGGTGCATCTTAGTGTTTTTATTTTGGGCTGGGCGGTTTGGTTGGGGCCCGGAGGTTGTGTGTGGTTTATTACTGGTGATCTCCATGGTCCACTGTGAATTGTATGTAAGTGTGAAACCACATATATGGATTTGGGTGTGTGTGTGTTTTAACTGTACTTGAGTCATTTTAATATGTTGTAATTACAAAACATTTTAATTACAACCTGCTGAAACCAAGAATTTAAGATATGTGTTCATTACACTATAATAAAAAAGTGGGTTTGGAAAATTCATTGAGTGTTTCTGATGCTTTGCCATTATGAGGAATAAAATAATAAAAGAAACAAAACATTAAAAAAATTATGTTTGACATTTAGATCACATTTACAAAAATGTTCCATTAATTTAAACTAGACTAAAGACAAAATATAGATTGCATATTTTGCTATATTTCTTTGTACATGTTCATTTGATGAAACAAAAATAGAAATTTGTTTTTATTACTGCTATTTAACATTTCATTTTGATGTTTTTTTTTATCAATTTGAATAAACAAATTTTAATAAGTTTGACCTATTTCTTAATTTAGTTTAAGCTATATAAAAATATGTGGCATTAATTTTGACTAAATATGTATGAGGTGAAATGACGTCACTTTAAATATAACATTACATATGTAAGTTAAAAAATGTTATAATTTTAAAAAACCTAACTAAGTCACTTATAGTGATTATTGTAACGTCAAGTCAGTTTTATTCTTATAGCACATTTAAAAAGAATAAAGCACATTCAGTTAAATACAATAACACATGATTAATTTAAATTTAGATTTCTACTGAGGAAAAGTCAGAATCAATAAAGGAATAAATAAAAATGAAGACATTTTTTTCAGTTTCTAGTTTGAAGACATATTTATGTCATTTATGACCAAAATTGAACTCCATAATCTATTTATTATCCACTATGGTTCCATTATGTGTGCTTTATGCTCCTCTCTCCCAGCCTCCCCTCCTCCTCTCGCTGGCATTAAGTTCAAACTTGACACTGATGTTGACTCACTTTGTCACCCCTCGGTGGCTCCCTCTCCCTTCGCCTCTCCCTCTCTCCCCATCGCTTGGAGGACACGAGTGCCCGCAGACGCATTTCTCTCCAAAGCCCCCTCTCCTCCCTCTTTCACTCTCACCCTGTCCAACTCTCTTCATCTTCCTACTCTCTCCTTTACAAACACACATACACACAGTATTGTCAACAAAGCTTGGGAACGAAGGACGTTGGGTCCACAGAGGAAGAGAGTAACTTTCAGGGCACCTCAATCGATTTACCTGGACGCTTGGTAAGTTCACAAAATTATCGCTTATTTGTTTTTTAGCGCGTTTATACGTTTTCATCAGTTTTCTAGGCCAAGTTATGAACATTGTGTTAATCAGTGTTGCTATTTTCTCAAGCTGTAGTTGAAAAACTGCTATTTTGGTTTTTGTGACTCAACCAGATGAACCCAGTTTGACCTTTGACATTGCCTCGCTGTGCTTGATTAATAATTTAGCTCATCACTGATAGAAATTTACCTCCCTTAATCGCACACAATGGTAGATGTTTTTAAAAACTAAATTAAAGATAAGATAAGAGTTGGGCAACTATTTATTTTGAGACGTACTGGTCAATAATTAAATGCATTTGCACTGAATTCTGAAGCGGATGCTGCTTATTTTGGAAGTTTAAACTGATTTAGACGTGGTTTGGATGTTATTTGAATATGTACTCCTACCGTGAGTGCTTGCGCCCACAATGCCAGAATATAAAATGCTTTTGTTGTGCATGTGTGTGTGCGCCTGCTTGGGTTTACCACTGGAAAACAAAGCTAAAAGCAAATCAAATGCCATGGCTTTCAGAGTGGCTTCTAATGTACCTCATCTCCCCATGGTATACTAGCAGAGCAGTGTATAACACACACACGTTACGACAGCGAGCATGTAACTAACTCCATTTATGTCTGTCATCATGAGGCTAATTCACCACAATGCCAACCATGTGTGAACTCATGCGATATGAACCCCTCCTCTTTCATCTTCTTCTTCGTCTTGCTCTCGTCTCTAAGCAGATTGGAGGAGGCAGCGAGGAGGTGACGGTAAACAGAGGCGAACGCACTCAACAGGACTGGACTCCTTTTACTTCCACACATGTTAGTTTGGACGCTCGTAGCATGTATGAGAAGTTAACCATGCTGAACCTGCAGAGCGGCTCAAACTGGAGTGGGCCCAACAACTGGTACCATGATCCCACCGGCGTTCAGACGCAGCACAGCTCAGGTGAGGTGACTTTTTCAGCCCCACGGATCAGCAGGTGCTTGAGCCCTGTCGAAATAAAAGTGGCCTGACACTTGTAGCTGTTGCGGAATGAAACTCCTGTAATCCTAAAATGTGCTGAAGTTTCTTGACCCGTATTTATTTCACCCCACCTCACTCTCTGCCAGTGTCTGAGGGCTGCATGCTGGACACAGAGGGCAGCATGGCGGGGGAAGCAGGAGGAGGAGGATCGGGCAGAGGAGGAGTCCCCGTGGAGCGAGACGATGGTGAGGAGTCTCAGCTGAGGCTGCAGCTCAAGAGGAAGCTGCAGAGGAACCGGACCAGCTTCACACAGGAACAGATCGAGGCTCTGGAGAAAGGTCAGGCCACGCAGTGCAAGCAACGCTCTCTTCTTCCGCTCTGCAGCTACTTGCTGCCCTCCTGGGGTGAAAGCTGCACCAAAATGGAGTTTCTCCTGCCACTTTCCTCCTCCTGTAATCAGATTATCACACTCACGCCTTAAATTCAGCTTTTATTTTTATGTTAAATTACAAAACAACAATCAGGCCACGAATCCAAACCTGGCAAGATTTTCATTATTTCCTCCAGGGGAGACTAAGAATAACTGCAATCAAGTTCCAGATGCAAATTATTCCCAGCTTTAATTCCACAAATATTCCTTATCTGCTCCAAAAAGGCCTCTGGCAGCATGCAAAGCAGAGATGCTGATAATGCATCATTACCGTGGCTGTAATATGCAGCGAGATCTGGCTCTTGTAGCCACTGAGAGGGATCAGAGAGCCACCCTTGACTGGATGTGGCTGCAGAAGGAGCCCCGGAGCTAAATAAGAACTCAGTGTCCATAGTGCAGCCGAGTGGAAGCATATCACTGCGGTCACTCTGTGCAAATGACATTAATGAGGTATGCTGACCTCAGTGCACGGCCAAGGCACAATAACAATCATGTGTTGACACAGACGGCAATTATAAGCAAAGCCAATTATAACAATTTGGGCGACAGATTGAATTAACAGAGTCTATATTTTATTAACCAAAAGGCAATTGAATCTGTCACAGTTATCTCTGTTTGTTGACATGCTCTCAAGTATTCGACTTGAGTTTTAAATCACGATACTACAAACGTTTTATTGTTTTGTTTATTTGTTGTGGAAATGCTAAACTAATGCTAAGCTGTGAAAGCCCTGCACTAAACCTGAAGCCTCAGAAATCAGGAGGGCGACTGACTGTTGCAGGGCGAGGCCAATTCACGTTTCAACTTGTCATCAGCAGAAACGTTAGCCACGACTGAAACTGAAAGTCTCGGAGATGTAAACGGAGGGAACGGTGCATTCGAAAGTAAAAAAAATAAAAGCAACAAAGCAACTGGAGTGTTTATACCTCTCCTCGTTTCAGTTTGAGCCAACTCTCGGTGAAATAAAGCGCTTAGGCAGCTTCTCAACTTGAATCCTTTCATTTGAACTTTCTGCATGTTCCAGGATAATAAATAATTTATACAAAGTGCAACAGATAAATATTTCAAAAAGGGTTGTAGGGATACAGCTCAACTTCCTGGATTTAAAGCTTCCATGGAAAGATAAATGCTGATGCTAATATTTAGCAGGAAATATAGAAACACATCTAAGTGTTTTAGTCCTATTCAGTCCAGATTCACTCTGTGTAATGTGTTTTTATAGAGTTTGAACGGACTCATTACCCAGATGTTTTTGCAAGAGAGAGACTAGCAAACAAGATTGATTTACCTGAAGCCAGGATACAGGTGAGCGGCCTCTGAGCCAAGCCTTTGTTTACACATATTCTGCACGATTTGTAAAAAAAAAAAAAAAAAATAGGTTGCAGCATTATAACTCACAGAACTGGTCTGACTGGAGTTTGATTGACAGGTGTGGTTTTCAAACCGAAGAGCAAAGTGGAGGAGGGAGGAAAAGCTGCGCAACCAAAGGAGGTCAGGCAGCGTCACCTCCTGTTCGCAGAGCCAGGCCCCTCTGAGCACCTCCTTCAACACGTCCGTGTATCATCATCAGCACGGCAGCAGCTCAGGTAAAAACCATCCTTAATTACCGCCGCTCATTACTCAGACAGCACGCTGATGAGGCGAGGAGCAAGACTTTACATTTGCTCTTCATGATTTATACATCTGGCGACAGGAATATTTTAGTATTTTATAATCCACAGGGCACCTCTGCTTGACATCTGCATGCAGGCATTAGCGTTTCTCCATTAGGGTGCATATATATTAAACATTCCCACCTCGAGTGGGTCTCATTGACGGTGAGGGAAGGCGTGTGTGTTCATGGCCTCTCTGTGTGCCGTGTGTGTGTGTGTCTCTCTTCAGGGTCCATGTTGAGTCAGGCTGAGTCGTCCCTGCCCAGCTACAGCTCGCTGTCTGTTTTCTCATCCGGAGTCCAGGTTGGACATTCAACATTCATCATTCATCATCATCTTCCACACCAACGCAAAACCATCATGCTTCAAAGTTTTTTGTAAAGCTCAGAGCAGTAAGGCACAAATTAATGGAATTATTATTATTATTAGCTCAACCATTTGTTTTATCTAATATTACTACAAATTAATGTAGCAATAGATTTAAGTTATGTTTAATTCAATAATACAGGCAGCTACAGGCATGTTGTAATAACAAGCATGGCTTTTGTCTTATTGTGTTGTTGTGACTCACCTTTACAAGGTTGAGGTTACTGCTTCAAAAATCAACAGGAAGTCTATTTCATGAGCTTTATCTTCACCTGTGACAGCAGCAAGGGAGAATGAGGCTCTAGAAGCAGCCAAGAACACCCTGTTCCAATTCAGTTCAGTTTATTTATAAAGCACCAAGTCACAACAGAAGTCATCTCAGGGCACTGAACAGAAATATTCATATAAGTTTATAACAGTAAGTACGGAGCACATCTTTGAATTTAACTCCATCGCAGAACTTTCATCTTGAGCAAGCATGAAGGCGACAGTGGAAAGGAAAAACTCCCTCATGAGGAAGAAAACTTTAGCAGAACCAGCTCAGGACAAGTGGCCATCTGCTTCAACCGGCTGGGTTTGAGAGGAACAGATACACAATGGCAGGTCAAGAGTGACATGTTAAGATAGAAATAATATCAAATGAAAACTATTCAATTTTAATAATTCATTAAAGGAAATGAGGTCAATTTGTCCTCCTGTAGTCTAAGCTTATAGCAGTATAACAAGCCAACCCTAACTATAGGATTTATCAAGAAGGAAAGTCTTAAGTCCAGTCTTAAATCTGGACAATGTGTCAGTCTCATGGACAGAAACTGGAAGTTGGTTCCATAAGAGAGGAGCCTGATAACTGAAAATCTTCCTCCCATTCTGCTTTTGGAAACTCTAGGAAAGGTAAGCCTGCAGTCTGAGAATGAATTGCTCTGTTAGGAACATATGGAATAATAAGATCTCGAATATAAGATGGACCTAGGTTGCTGAGAGTTTTGTAGGTTAGAGGTAAGATTTGAATTCAATTGTGGATTTGAGTTTTTAAAAACTCAAAAATGAAGAAGACATCCCCTGAAAACCTGTTCTATTGCTGCCTAACCACATGACGCTAAACTGAGCTAAACGGACAGTATTTAAGCAATCTAAAGCAACAAGCATGAAGATTTTAGAATCAGACTGTTTTATTGCAAGAAGAATAACACCAATAAAAGGTCAGTTTATATATGTTTGACAAAAATAAAATTCATTTGCCAACAAGTTAGTCAAAGAACAGCTTTGTTACAAATAAAATTTGATCTGTTGGGTTCAAGCAAAAAGCTGACATATTTTCTCAAACCTTTTAAGACTCTTAGTGTATTGTTTTATATTTTGGGTTTGGTAATCATTTTGGTTGTGATGCAGCTTGTGACATGAATTTTGAGATATTTTTTCTTTGGTAGAATTTTTTTTTAAATCACTGTATTTTACTATTATAAGTCTTTTTTTTTAACTCTTGCTTCACTTTGCTTCTTTATAGCAAAAATGTACATGCACAAAAAAATCAACAATCATTAAACATTAATTTGTTCTTCAGTTTTTTCATATAAATCTCTTTAACAACTTCTGACCTGATCAAAAACTACTAATCATTACAGCATTTTCAGGATTTTACTTTAACCCTTTAAATGACAGTTTTATTATTTGTTATGTAACAGAAATACACTAACAATAAATTATTTTCTATGTAATGAATATTAGAGGGATGTGGCTTTTGTGGTTGTTAGAGTTGTAGACATATCAAAGATTAGCAACATATATGATTTGACTGGATCAGTATTTTTATGTTTTTCCGTTGTCTCCCTCTGGGCACCTTTGTGACCAAAAAAAATGCTTCATTAACTTTTATTAAAACCACTTTTAAAATATGCCATTACAATATAAACTCATGCATTCTATAACGTCAGCATTTCAATTTGAAGAGACACAGTAATACATTTTTATTGTATTCCACCGAAGTCGTCAATTTCCCTTTATAGGATGAGCCAGGAAGTTATTGTATCTTTGCCAGTCTTACTAAGGAGCTGCTTGACTACCAAAAGAGTTTTCATGATTTCTCTTAGAGAGCTGTGTTTCACGTCTCTTTGTAGACATGCCCTCCTGGCTTTGCTATACTCAAAAACAAAACCAGTGTGTTTGTGCACCTGACTGCTTTTACAGCCAAAGATCATCATTCATCTTGGCTGAAGGTCACTTCATTATTGAGCAAAGAAAGAGAAAGACCTGGAGCAAAGAGAGGAAGCAAAAATGAAGCATTTCAGTGCAGGACAAACTTTAGGAGCGGTCATGTAGTTTTTATCAGCTGCAGGAATCATCTAAAGAAGACTTGAGCTTTAAAAGTTTGCTCATCTTCTTCTGTGAGGGCCTCTGTCCTTTCCTCTGACAGTAGAGAGGACACTGAGGGTCCTGTCCATCCTAACAGTGAGCGGACAGATGGAGGATGTTCTTGCAGGAGCTGGGGAAATCCTTTGTGTCCTCAGAGACTGTGTGGAGAAAGGCCCCCTGCATACGGCAGCTGTTGCTTCCATAGTGGAGGAGTTACAAAACACTGATGAGACCACCAGAACATTACCAGAGCTGAAGTTGTTTAAGAGATTTATGGAAAAAAATAAAACCTGAGATAAGATGTTTTTATGGCAGTGTTTTGCGAAGGTTTTGTTACAAGGATGTCTAATGTGTCGTAAAGTGCGAGTGCTCTACATTTTGTTGACAAAAAGAACAACACACCTACAGACATGAGATTTAGCAGCTTTATGAATAAAAACCATTCATAAAAACAAATTACAGTTTTCCTACAAAATTTTGGCAGAATTTTTTAAATCTTAACTGCTACATAGCTTTAAATTGCTTTTGTCGCATAGTTTAATTTATGCTAAAAGAACCATTAATTATAGTGAAAATGTCTGTGTAATTTTGTACATCATCTCAGTTTTAATTATATTTATTATAACAATAGAAAAAGATCATGTCATAATTTATATCAGGGATTGTAGCCTGCACAGTTTTTGTAGTGCAAAATCAATCAATCAATCAATCAATCAATCAATCAATCAATCAATCAATCAATCAATCAATAAATAAATAAATAAATAAATAAATAAATAAATAAATAAATAAATTAATCAATCAATTAACCTATCAATCAATCAATCAATTTAAATTAAAATAGATTTTAAAAAGTCATGTGTAAATATTTTAAGCTTCAGCGTTACAGAGTAACTTTGATCTACAGTCTCCATCTTGTATATTTTTCCATTAAAATCATAAACAGTGATTTAAATACAACAATTTATTGTTTCAGCTTCATTTTCAGTCTGGACATAAATGTGAAGATGTACAGTCAATCAGTAAAGCACTGCTTTATCTGTGAAATATCATATTTGAATTTTTAAACAAAGTCTTATAGAAAAAGTAGTCACAGTGGCCTATACTGAAACTACAATTAAATGTTTCTAGTAATTGTATTTTTGAGTAAAATGTTGATTTGTTGCATTTTGTAAGACATAATCTGGCTTCTGCTTCACCCCGGGAGATCTGGCGCCCTCATGCGGTGAAAGATATAGTTTGCCATAAATACGTTTCTACATCATGGTGTCTTATATTCTCATCTATGTATCTATGTATCTATGTATCTATGTATCTATGTATCTATCTATGTATGTATCTATCTATGTATGTATCTATCTAT